CTCCAGACGCCGTCGCCAGGGCAACCGAGCGCCACTCCCGCCCCACCTCCCCCCAGGAGCCCTGTGCCTACACCCAGCCCGACCTCCAATCCCGGCAGCTCTGCCCAGAAACACCTGGGATTCGGGCCTCCCTTGTGCTCTGTGCCCCTCAGGCCTCTCACTTCTGCTACAGCCTCCTAGCCTCCCCGTCCTACTCGTGCTCGCCACCCGCACGCCCCAGGCCGTTCTCGAAGTTGTTCCCCAAATGATCTTCCCAGATTCTTCCCAACCAGCACCGATCCCTGTCGCTCTGCTCCCCAAGAGTCAAGCCCAACCTTGGCGCTGCCAGTCAGGCCTTCGCCTCGCCTCGCCTCTGACCGAACTTCCTCCACCCTCTCCGTAAATCCCCCTTTGAGCAGTTCCAGTTTACAGAATCCACGTTCTGCAGCTCTGCCTTTGGTTATGCTGACCCTAAGTCCGGGATGTGTCTCAGGGTTCAAATGTGCTCTTCTCAGGGTAGCTGGCCCTCTTGCCTCCAGAGGTTTCCTCTGCCGGGCTTCAGCTGCTCCCCGTCCTCCTCGCTGATGGCGAATTTATCAGAGTATGTGATTGCACACACGCCTCTCGGTGCTGCCCAAATCAGTGCTCGAATGGGAGGGAGGAATCCAGGATGACTGGGTGTGACAGACACAGCCTGCGGCGTTAACACCGTTAGCAGTCACATTATATAGACACTTACAGCGAATAACTTTTTATGTATTAAAATATTTTAGTTACCTAATAGGTGATTTTCATTGGTGTCTCATGTTTGTAGTTGTACCAGTACCGGGCCCTAGGAACTAAGAGACTTCCCTTTTCTTTTTGAAGTCTTTAATTAAAATATTGTGTTACTTAGAACAGTATAAAATTATATCAAGCCACATTATATATATATATGCAAGTTAGGCAGCCTAATTTTTTTACAAAATTATTTGCGTTTTGAGTATCTTGTCATTATACTTCATGGTAGTTTTTTTTTTTATATTGAATTGAAAAGAGTGTCTTAGCTTTTAAAATAAAGAATTTAGAAATAAAGGAAGGGGTCCAGAGTTCCTTTACCATTCATTTAGTCATTTCACAAATATCCATAGAGCATCCGTCACATGCCAGCTGTAGGTGTTGAAAATATAGGCGTGAACCAAATAGAGTTGGCATTCTTGTGGGGGAAGATGAGCAATGCACAGATAAGTTCAAATATGTCAGATGGGGATAAGTATTGGGGAGAGTGAGGAGGTTAGGGAGTGCAGGGTGCTGTTTCACAGTGTGGTCTGAGAAGGCCTCATGATAAAGTGACACTGAGCAGAGAGATCCGCAGGACTGGGGGGGTAGCCATGAGGATATTGTGGGGTAGAGCTTCCTAAGCCTGTGGGAACCTCTTGGCCAATGAGTCAGAGCAGTGGACCAACAAGAGGAGGTTGAGGGCCCAAGTCACAAGAGCTCTTTAGTAAAGGGTCCATGAGGTCTGGATCCAGGGTTGTTCTTTGTCTCCCTTCATTGGGTTCCTACTCTAGACCAGGCCCTATGCTAGGCACTGGGGGAGATATGAAGAAGCTCATTTCTACCCTCGAGGAACCAGTATCCTTTCCAGTGCTCTCAATCCAAATGGCTGACCTTTATGGGGATGCAGTTAAGAATACTCAGTTGAGCTCTAGCTGGTTTGGCTCATTGGATAGAGGGTCAGCCTGCGGACGATGGGTCCCAAGTTTGATTCTGGTCAAGGGCACATGCCTGGGTTGTAGGCTCAGTCCCCAGTGGGGGGCATGCAGCCAATCAATGATTCTCTCTCATCAATGTCTCTCTCTCTCTCTCTCTCTCTCTCCCTCTTCTTCTCTGAGATATATATATAGTAACGCTTAAAAAAAAAGAAGTCAGTTGATTCATAGATGGTTCAGAAATAAGGAACCCAGGTCTGGTCTGAGCTTCGGCACTATTTATATGACTTTGGGTATTAGCATTTTCATTTGTAAAATGGTAGATGTAGAAATTGTCTCATGCAAACAAACAAAACTATGGTTCTATAAAATCCAAGAATAGCCCTAGCCGATTTGGCTCAGTGGATAGAGCGTTGGCCTACAAACTGAGAGGTCCCGGGTTCGATTCCGGTCAAGGGCACATGCCAGGGTTATGGGCTCAATCCCCAGCGGGGGACTTGCAGGAGGCAGCCAATCCATGATTCTCTCTCATCATGGATGTTTCTGTCTCTCTCTTCCTCTTCCTTCCTCTCTGAAATCAATAAAAAAAATATTTTAAAAAAATCCAAGAATAGAACTTAATCTTAGTATGAAAACATTTGTTAAATCCCTTCAGACATCATATACAAGGTTTATATATATAGGGTTATGTAAATTTTGATTCATTATTTGCTTAGTTTTTTAAAAATGTGTTTTACCTGATACAATCAGTTCTGTAAATGAATGGTAGTTAGAAAAGACGTTTTAATTTAACATATATAGTAGATTATGTAAAAAAATTAAACATTGTGTTTTCTTTATGACTTTGACATTAAAGGTCTTTTGCTATATGCCTTCAAAACTGCCCAGCCAACATGGCTCAGTGGTTAAGTGTTGACCTATGAACCAGGACAGGTCATGGTTTGATTTCTGGTCAGGGCACATGCCCAGGTTGCGGACTCGATCTCCAGTGTGGGGCATGCAGGAGGCAGCTGATCAATGATTCTCTCTCATCATTGATGTTTCTATCCCTCTCCCAACCTCTCAGAAATCAATAAAAAGTTTA